AAGCTTCTTATTTCTCTTCAAAAATCGACCAAAAAGCAGCTGATTGATTCAACAACTTTACCACCAACTTTATAAGCAGTGAAGGCTTTTTTAATCTCACATACGGGCAGGCGAATCACGGCAGGCGTATAATTTAGGCATAAGATATATAATTAGCACAAAAAGTTCGAAAGTTACATCTAATGTTTTACACAAACACGCATACGCTGTAAATTTGTGGAGTGGAAGGTAAGAGAAGAAATATGGATCAAAATAGTTTGTCCTATTAGCTTTTAGAAATTATTACAGTAAGACCTTTTTTGAATTCACCGTGTTTTTGATTTAAATGTTTCTAAAACACTGCAAATTTCAAAATGAATACAAATTCCTGTTGTCTCATTGTCTTAGTGCATGAACAAGCTAATATTCATGTGGCTACTTACAGACGAATCAAAAGTGAACCACCAATCACTTAAATGATCCTGATGATGACTCACTCGACAAGCTGTCTACGTAGAATGATAGAATACTGTCGACCAAATAAAAGTTGATCATTTAAGGGTTTTAATTTGCTTCGTAGCTCAACTCACTACTCCTGAACTATGTCTTTTTTAAGTTGCTATTAATACTGTATATAAGTCTTATTTAGGTGGAAGCTATAGGATATGTTTGAACATCATAACTGTACAGAAGTTAAGTGAATGCATTTTGCCTTTCAAAGTGTATATTCTGTTCAATTTTCAATTATGCTCAAGGATTACGTTCATAAATTGCTTAATCTTATGTTTGTAGTTGTTTAATATTATTAAATGAAAAGTAAATAGTTATCTGGTTTATAAAGGTATAAACTGACTGTTCTTTTACGTATATTTTGTTAGCGTCGATCAAAAATCTTACGTTTTATTATGATCAAATTAACAAACAATTTTCACAAAAATGAAGGTTTCTTTATTTATTTAGATGAGTTATTCTCGACGCTTTGAGCCACTTGTTGTTGTTGAGTTTTCTTCATCAGCACGAAATGACACAAAACAATGGCTTTTACGACGTATAACAGCTAGCCGCCAGGAAAATGGTGCGGAATTATTAGCATCAATCGAAGCAGATTCAGATAATAAAGTAAATATATTTATCTTGTTATTTAACTTATATCTAAATAAAATCATTTTAGAATAATATAATGTATGTTGGTGCTCTAACTGATCGCTTATTAGAAGGAGGAGAAGAATTACAAATAAAAAAACGTTATAAAGATGGAACATTACGTGAATTTTTAGTTGCTGATATAAAAAATTTTGAAAATGGAGGTAAATATTCAATAAATTCTCCATAATAAGTATATATTCATTTCCATCCGTGTTTTTCAGACGACCCAGACAATTTTTTGAGCATGTCAACAAAACAACGAATAATATGGGAAGAATTACAGAACCTAAGGCCTGAACCACATGAGCATGCGGTACCGGGCGCACCAATGAAATCGATAGATCAAAATGATGACACGATCTGTACGTATATATTATGTTTTCTTTTAATTTTAATGAATACATGTCTCTCATATGTAGTGGGTTTATTGAAAAATTTGGACTATATTGTAAACGTGTTTCCATTACATGACAAAGAAGAATTGAAACGACTCGAACATACTTGGTATATGACATCAAATTCATGGCTTCAATTTAAACCATTGCCAATAAGTGAGTAGAAATAATTCAAACAGTCAATCACAGTCTGATAATTATTTATTGTCTTTCTTATTCAAAGGACAAGTTCGAGATTATTTTGGAGAAAATGTTGCGTTTTATTTTGCATTTCTGGAGTATTACACAAAGTCATTAGTCGTCCCAGCAATCATTGGTATATATGTCATAAGTTAATTTTTTAGAGTCAAATTTGAAACGTTCAACTTACTTATGGAATACATTTTTTTGCCTTTGCTTTATATAGGTTATCGTGAAGAAATGACGTTTGGACAGTGTTTTTCTAAAAGCAAAATCAGCAAAAATGTTTAAGATGTACTATTCATATCTATGAACATATATATAGATAGTCATCAGGATTTCTACTATCTTATACAACTCTTATAACGGTCATATCAGTCACAAAACCTCTATAAGTCATAATAGTTACAAAAGTTGAAAAGTACTGAAAGACATAAAAACCAAAAAGTTATGAAGATCGTGAAAGATTTGAAGTCATACAAGTCGAAAAGTTACATGTACCAAGCACAGTCTCAAAGCTAAAACATACACATATTCTACGAACCATATAAGCCATAGTATCCATCAGTTGCTCTTTTTCGTAACAGATACACATCCTTTTATTAAACAATTTTAGACAAATTTTGTGCTCTGGTTATTGTAAAATTGCGCTAACTTTCTCTGTATTTTTAAAATTTTTTTCTTTATTCTTAGGAATCATTGTTCGATTTTTTCCATGTGCTGATTTTCTCAAATATAGTTTTTATTGCATCTTTAATGTATTCTGGTGGACAATTTTTATGGTAAGCATTTAGAGTAGCAAGCTTATTGGGTAGACTATATCAGCAATATCGAACGTATCTCTAAAGAATCATACGAGATTTATCTGCTCTTTTTTGAAAAAATAAACGTCTTTATATCTCCAATAAAATATTTGTAATACGTATACAAATGGAGTGTTTGTAGATAAATATTTTACCTTATTTCATCGGCGAATAGAAGAACAATTTTCTACTTATCAGAAGATAACGAGTAGTACATCATCGATCTTTGTACATTACTAAGATGTTTATGACCTCTCTCTCTCAAAGGAACAGACACTACCGAACACATTACTTGATAATAGAAGTAAAGATTTGTAGGTGGTGCGTGTGTGAAATGAGATCTTTTTTGTAGATGGTCCTTTACCATGGTTCAAACGTAACTATTTTATTTGTTTCTTTTTTTTAAGGAACGATGGAAACGTCTAGGTAATAAACTTGCTTTTGAATGGGGTGCACTTGATGTACAAATATTTGAAAGACCACGTCCGTTGTATCATGGACCCTTAGTACGCAGTCCTATTACAAATAAACTAGAACGCCGTTATCCACCGTATGAACTTTTTTTTAAATTTAATCACATCGTATATTCTGTTGTTCCCTTTTCTTTCGTTATCTAGATGGAAAAGACAATTGAAGAAATATCTTATTACCTACCCGGTGATTATGATTTGTTTATCTATCTCATTGACAATCTATTTCACGTACTATCGTATACAAAAGAGAACAAATGAACAATTAATGTCTGATCATGAAAAAGCAATGTCACTATCACGATATGGTTTACGAATTGTGCCATCAGCTGGCTATTCATTATTAGTGACAACAATTACTCTTGCCTATAAAAGATTATCCATTCTTTTAACAGATTTTGGTAAGAAATTATGAAATTTAAATTGAATCATTTAGTAATAGACGATATTTCTGTTTTAGAAAATCATCGTCTCCAATCGTCTTATGAAAACAACAATACTGCAAAATTGTTTATATTTTATTTTATGAATTGTTTTATTGGCTTATTTTATGAAGCATTCTTTAATATGAATTATGGTAACGTTGCACAGGTAAGGAGAGAAAAAAAAATAGCAGTTCTTAGTGGAAAAAAAAATATAACTTAAGAAGTTGGCCATCTTAGTTTATAAACTCTGATCAAAAGTAATGGAATGATTTTTACTTTTACGCTAAACTTCTTCTAAATTACTCTAGAAAATTTCTATGAGTTTATAACTATTAACTGGATGTTTACGATAAAATAAAATGTCGGCATCAATACCTCTGTTTATACTCATTTGACTTGGTTCAACAAAAGATCCAGTTACCTTTTTAGTGGGTTTCTGAATGCTAATATTTTGCCTAATTTCTCATATGTTGTTTTTTGTTGCTATTTTATTTTACATTTTTTTAATTGTTTTTTATTTTAAATTATAATTTTAGCTTCTGATTACTATGCTCGTCGTTAATGCTTTAATAAATAAATTTGTTGAAACAATAGCGCCCTATATTGCGAAAAAATTTAAAAAAGGACAGTTGAACAAACATGATCCTACACATAAACCGAGTGATATTGAAAAACAAACAAAATTATTGACAACATTTAATGTAAGTAAAGAGAACTATTATCTTTTAAATATTTATCAATAACAATTAAAAATCTAAAGTTGTCTTTTACCTTTTTTTTCTCTCTCTTTTTTTAGGGTACATATAGTGATTATGTAACAGTTTTCGAACAATTTGGATATGTCGCATTATTTTCAGCGGTATTTATCAAAAATATTTATACATGCAATGTTATTCAATTTACTCTCACTTTTGTTTTTCTTCAGGTATTTCCATGGGTAACTATCTGTGCTTTGATTAATAATATTTTTGAATTACGTGCTGATGCATTTAAATTTTGTCACGTGTTTCAACGTCCATTTGCTCAATTAGTTTCAAACATAGGTAAATAAAAAGGTTTATTTTTCTGTTACTCTAGAAATATTGTATGTTTAATTAAATTTACTGCATGAAAATCAGGCTAGTCATCTGTCAACAAATTACAGACCTATCATTCTACTTTCTACTGTTTCGAAAGTTTTTGAGCAATTCACTTTTAATCGTATTTTTTTTCAATTTCTACTCACTAATCAACTTATAAATGTAAATCAATCAGGTTTTTTACCTAAACAACAACTCAGATTGTTGATATGGTTCATAATTTTGTCTCGGCTTTCAATGAGGGGAATCCTGTTCTAGATGTTTTTATTGATTTTCAAAAAGCCTTTGGCCGGGTCTCGCATGCGGCGCAGTTGGTATAGTTGAATAGTAAAGGTTTACCTGCTTTATACCTGCTGCCCCTCAGAAATGGTGATTTTCGGTCAAAACATCGCTTTTGAGACAAACACATGGGAAGATAGCCTGCAGTGTCTACTTCCAGAATCTGTATCGCTTTTGGTTACAAAAGTGGTTTTTCGCGGATTTTGAGCAAGTTTTCTAGGAGCCTCGAAAAACTGGATCTTCAAATAATAGTTTTTTCCTGGATTCTTATGCAATTAAAATTTTTCTAAACACGCATATTTGTAGAGCAAACTTTTCTGATCAAAATAAGATCTCGCACAACTTTGTATTTACAAGCATTTTCCTAGAAGTTCTAAAATTGAGTATTCCATACAGCGTTTTCTCTATATAAGAGTTACACCTTTCCCAAGATTTTTTATAGCGATTTCTCATAGAGAGTTTATTCTTTTTTTGTTTAAGAAAAGAAAAGAAACTACATCGTCTGACCGGCGCCGATTTTTGAATTAGATCTTAGTTAGTTTAGTTAGTTTTTTATCAAATTATGGAGTTTTCGGGTTTTGGAGTTTGTTGGTTGCCTAGAAAATCAATAAAAGCTTAATTGAAAAATCAGCACCGGTCAGACCATGTAGTTAGATGTCTAGCTTAAAACAAAACAAATCCCAACTCTCCAGCTTGAAGTATGTTAAAAAACCTTGGGAAACACTTCAGGGTCCTTTTTGACCTTGATCTCTGATCGTCGATCTGCGGTCTGCCTTAATCTTTACAGTGTTCATGTAAGCTGTTTACTGATGACGTTTCGTTGTATGTTGTTGCTTCTGATATGAAGCAAGCTCTTACTCAAATGAACACTGATATTGATGTTACCTTTAAATGCTCGAAAGACTGGGTTTTGAACATCAATATTTCCAAGGCAAATGCCATGTATTTTAGTCACTATAAGAGAATCTTCCACCTGCATTAGTCTTAGACGGTTCTCTTCTAGTCACCTTGACAAAGTATCTCATCTGGGACTAGTACTAACTCCCAAGTTAGACTGGATTTGCCACATAGATTACATTTTTGTTAAGTGTTCAAAAATTGTAGATACCATGAAATGGATGAGTCATGTGATATCTCGAGAAGCCTTATGCTTAGTCTGCAATGCCTTTGTTTTCTCCATAATTAATTATATCAGTGTCATTTATTCTGGTACCACACAGACTAATTTGAAACGTATATCTACTATCCAGTATAATTCAGCCTTGGCAAACCACTGGTGGAATGAGACTGTCTTCAACTACAAAAACATTAGCTGATCCAATGGAAGAAACCTTCTTTATTCAACGACTTTGCTTATTTCATAAAATTAAGTTTGGCAAAGTATCCCTTTCTCTTCAATCTCTCATTCCAACTGATACTACATTACATACTTATTCACTAAGGAGTAGAAGTACAGCTGCTCAACAAATTTCAGTTCAGCGCCGTGAACGATGATATATGAAAATTCCTCATCATAGCAACTTGTTAGATGTGAAATCAGCTTTCTCTTGTACTTCGCTTGATAACAAATTATACTAGATTTAGACTCAAATTGATGGATTTTAAAAAAACTGAAGTATATGGTGAGTTTTTTCTGATCTGTAGGAAATACCAGAAAGCTCGAAAAAAACTGATGAGTACTGTTAATTCCATTTTGGGCACAAATTATTTTCTCGCTTCACTTTCTACTCTCTGATTTTAGGAGCTTGTCTATTGAATTTGAAAAAAGTAAAAGTATTTATAAGTCTATCGTTCATTTCATTAGAGAGTCTAACCGCTTTGGGCATAATTATTGCTACTTCTCTTACGGAAGAATTGTTTATACCTCACTCAGGCAGTCGCCAAAGAAAATCCTTCTCATCTCTGTAATCTATACTGCTTCTATACTGCTTTAATCTGTTAAAACCTTACCATTTTGTTCTTTTATTTATCTAGTTTTTCTTTGTTGTCTCTTTCCCTTTCCCAGTGTGCAATGGGCACAGCCCGATTTGATTACGGTTTCTTCTATATTAAAGTTTAAATCAAATTTTCATTATTTTTAGGTTCATGGCATTATGCATTCGATGTAATGAGCTCTGTTGCAGTTGTTACAAATACGGCCTTGATTGCCATGCATCCCTCGGTTCGTGATTATTTTTCTGGTTATAGTGATATAGAATACATTTTAATGTTTGTAGCTGCTGAAGTAAGTTTATTTATAATGTTTATTATTTATTATTACATAGCTTTGTTCACCTGTCTTTCTTTGTTTAGCACATACTTTTGACAATGAAATATGCACTTATGTTTGCAATACCGGATACACCAATGGAGGTAGAAATTGAACGTGCTCGAAGTCTTTATGAATCAATGCAAGCTTTGAAACGTGAAGTAAGTCTAATAGTTTTATTTTTTTCATAAACTCTGATGGAATGCATATATTCTTCCATATTTATTCTTTTTGATTTTATTCATAATTTTCACAAATTTTTTCCTCTATCTACTGGTAGAAAGAGCAACTTTTTACATACGACAGTTGTTATATATATTCGAGTGAAACTACGTATTTCTATACAGAAGTCTATCGTATTTGTGAATCAAGGGTAAAACTATCTTTTAGCTGATTTGTATCCATCGCATGTTATTAGGAAATAATTGGAAAAATTTATCATGCAATCTATGCATTTCTCAACTTTAGAGAAAATCAGCTTACCAAATGCAAACAAGCTTCTGATAGATCATAAGATGTACGTTAGAAAAGACTAGATAAAAATAATATTTCTAGTGTTAACGAACGCTACGTTCTCGGGAATTAATGCTTTCTTGCGCTAAAGTACAAAAATAGTCTTTTATCAAAATAACTAATGAGGGAATTTTTTCACATGTCCAACTCGTTTCGACTCCATCTTTTGGCCATAAGTAGACCTCGATGAGATATGAAAAAACTTCAAAAGGATTCATTCCCTCAGGTCTTTGTTTCCGAAATATTGAATTTTTAAGATATGCGTAAAAAAGATTTTTGCACAGTTCCATGCAGTGCAAATGAAACTGTCTGTGGTTCTGAGAAAATAGAGTTCTGAGATGTTCGATTCATAAGACGATCTGCTCTGGGTTGAGAACTAGATTGAATTCTTCCGGCGGTGCTTCTCACTGTCCATCATTTGATAGAACACATACAATTCTCTGTTTTCTTTGTGGTGCCATTTTAATCACACAAAACCTTATGAGAGAAAATCGGTGAAAGTGATAATCTAGAAAAAAATAAATTAAACACAGTGGTTTATGGTACCAGCTGCAGCAGATGAAAGGGGCCGCATCGCATGAGTTTGCAGTACATATTGCAGCATCGAACGAGAAACACTTTGGTCACAGTTTTGAAAGGTCCTGCATGAGTGTCTGTGTACCCACTAACGTACCAAGCATATCTGATCATTGGACGGAAGACTTCGGAAGATGGTTGATTGTGATTGAACGGATGATGTTATTACGCTCACTAATGTTGACATAAAGTTCATCGAGCAGCACACGATCGTAGAGCCGACGAGGAATCACTTTCATTTGCCTATTAAAATAATGTCCAACGGCTGAATCAGGGCCATTGTTTTCTTCAGTATCTCAAGCCTCGTGCATCCCGGGATTTGATCCTATAGGTGATTTCCATCTGTCTGGTCTCCCCAATAGTCCGAAATGAGTAAGAAGTTCTTCCGTTGACCAAGCGATAGGAGAAGAACATGATCGCGCCAATACTCAACCAGGGACGTCGTGAGCTTTCCAGATTTGCTGTAAGTAATCACCACATTCGAGGCCTTGACAAGATGCGATCAGACGTTTTCGCTTATTTTTCCCTTCGGTTCCTCTAAGCACAGGTAGAGTGGCGAGGGAAGATGACCATCGAGCGTGATGGTGGGCTGTATTATTATATGTGAGTGGTGGCATTTGTAGAGCGGACCGAGCGACTCTTGTTTTCTCATCCTTGTGACTCAGTGTCCGGGTAGAATACAGCTCGAGTTCGATTCCACTTTGATCTGTGTTCATGGCCTCATCCGCTTTATATTTCGTCAAACGCCTGCGAACATCAACCACGAAGTGATCGGCTGAAGCGTTGATAGTCTCTTGGCTCTGCACTTGTCGCTTTGTCACAATCTATGAAGGTAGAATATTTTGACCTCATCATAAAAATTCATTGCCCGAGTCATATAGTCGAGGGAGAAGTTCTTGCGCAGTGCGTTCTCCTCATCTACTTCACCACGATAGTCAGGACCAAACGATTCTTCGTCTTTAAGAGTAAGAGACGTCAGTGCGAAAATTCGATCAGCGAGATCTTTCATGACATTCGTTGAATTGATCATCTTGAAATAGATACAAGATAGACTGGTATCAGCCGCTCACTTGCAGCACACTACTATAATTTTCCAGCTCAAAAGCAAAGAAGAATGATGCCTGTTACAGGCTTCGTGACCTTCAGATGTTCTCTATATATATACAGGTCATTCTTCTATCCTTTATCTTTTCGCTATATCAGTTGCTCATCACGTTTATCTATTTTGTTTCCATTCTTTTCCTTTATGATCTCTTTTCGTCTATTTCTCTAATATCTATATCTGTCTGTTCGATTCGTAATTATTATTGTTAAGAGTCGTTTTTAATATCTGCAGTTCGGTTACATATTTTTTTAGAGTCTATCAGCTGATGAATAGTGAACAGCACTGCCGGAAGAATTCGATCTAGTTCTCAACCCAGAACAGGTGGTCTTATAAATCGAACATCTCAGTACTCTACTTTCTCTGACCCATAGGTAGTTCTATTTTCAAAAGTTTCATCGGAGATAGACAAACACTGCATAAAACTGTGCAAAAATCTTTTTTACGCATATCTTAAAAATTCAATATTTAGGAAACAAAGACCTGAGGGAATGAATCCTTTTGAAGTTTTTCATATCTCATCGAGGTCTACTTATGGCCAAAAGATGGAGTCGAAACGAGTTTGACATGTGAAAAAGTTCCCTCATTAATTTTATTTTAAATAATAAACATTTGTGAGATATATTCGCTGCATGTACCTTTGTTAATCGGCTTCATTTAGGCATGCAAATTTTCACATTTTGAATTTAGAACAAGAACCATTATACAAAACCAACTTTTTGCTTTTCTCTTCTAAAAACTAACATGTCATCATAATCAATGGTAACAACAGACTACTGATAATTAAATTAAGCACATATCAAGAATATGTTCAGTTTTCTAATTATCTGATGATTCTCGTTAAATTGTCTGATCAGTGCTAGTATTTGCTAACCCTGATAATTTATTTTTCATTTTAGCGAGGTGCTTCAGCAAAGAGATATAATACATCAGACAAATGAACAAAATGCTGCAAAACATCTTTATCATAAACCCCGTACGTTACACGTCAATGTTTAATTTTCACGAAATTTTTATATATAAATCTTTCTTGTTTCGTTTAGATTTTCCGGATTCAGACATTTATCCTACTTATACGCAATTAACAATAAAAAACTTACTTAGATTAAATATGTACTAGAAAACTTCGCTCAAAGTGCTTTTTTTGCTAATCATGTCTTTCTTTATTTTTATTTTCTTTGTGTCTTTCAATCGATGAGCTTTTTCTTATTTCAATTTTTTTTTTTTATATAACACAAAAGCTATTCTTCTCTTGTTGTTGTTATATTTTGCTAGCCATTCTAGTCATGTACCCAGTAACTAGAATTTTGGTTGAATAATTTTTTTCTTCTTTGTTTTCCACTACTATGGTTTTTTTACTGTTACTTTTGTATATCATTAAACATTTAGACTAGTAAGATGAGCGCAATAAGAGTTTGTTTGACTCTCTATTTTTTTTGTGAAACTTTGTTTAGATTTTTGTTTGATTTTACATCTTATTCATGGGCTCTGGTCAAACAGTTTTTTTTATAACATCGAGATTATTTGTGAATTGATGAGTGAGAAAGCGAAAAACTGAGAAAATTTTAATCTTTTACTTTATCATATACCTTTACCTGTGATCCCAAGTGAAGTTGTTCAGAAACTGTTTCTTATGTTAAGTATGCGACGAGAAAGATGAAGAAAACGAAGATTAGTAGAAAACTTTTTATTGCTATATATGGTGGTTTCTATGTGTAACAATCAAAACCACGTGCCAAAGAACGTTTTTTTTTTTAGAAACAAAATACCGTTATAAACACGATTGGTTATTTATTTTTATTTTTTGTTTTAAACATATTTTTTTGGTACGTTTGCTCACGATTGTATGTACATTCGTCTTTTGAATGATTGAATAGTAGTTGTTGTTTTTTTCTCTTATTATAAACGCTTAGAACATACCTCTTCCGTGACTCTAATATTTATTAGTCTACAGAAAAAATCGCTAGTATTTTTTTTTTCTTTTGTTGCTTCTTATTTTATTTAAATAATAAACAAGCGTATGCAAGATATAGGCGATGAACTATGGATTAAGTTTTGTAATTTACTGCAGAACTTAGTTCACATTTTCGAACCTCTGTCTATGCAATATTAATTTTGTGTTTTGACATTTGACAGTTAAAAAATAATATAACATTGGGATTTGATAACATAAGATATAACATTTAAGATTTGTTCTCACTTTCATTCTAAGACAGAAAGAAAAAGTCCTAACCGTAAAAAGGTACTTATTTTTTTCTTTTGCTTAAAAATAAAACAATTTTAGTTCATCTATTGAACAGAAATGATCTAGGATCACGTAAAAGTGTCGCTCCTATTTTTCTTAGCATCTAACAGGAAATGGCTACCAAATATCTATTGATATTAATTTTGATAAACTTTTTAGAAAAAAGTAGAATTTATGTAATGCATTTTTTTTTACTTCTCTTTATAATCAATAGTCAATTGTTATTTTATCTGTTAATAGATCGGAAACAGTTGTTTGTGGTTGTGAGTATTGGACATGTGTTGATAAATAGTCTCTTGTATGTTGAATCATTGTATTTGAAATGTTACCTGTTTCTGTTACGGATAAAGCTTCTTTCGATCGTTGTTGATATTGTTTTTGTTTTAAATTTACATCATCAATAATATCATTTGATATAATAAATATTGATGGTTGATCGATTAATTGTTCTAAATCGATAAATGCATCTTTATCAATAGCATTTTGTCTATTTGCTTTTGCTTTATAAGAATTTGTTAATCGAAGTCCAACTAATGTGACGATGATGACAATAGTAATAGCACTTATTACGATCCATATGTAACTAAACATTGTCTATTGGAATAAACTCAAAAGAAAAATAAATGTGATTTAATATTAAAACAAGAGAAAAATCTATTTAATTGTTTTATTAAATTGATATGTACGGCACTATTATTACTTCAATGAACGATATCAGCATGATAAAAAGCACAAAAACCGATACGTTTGTATTTGTTCGTCAATATCATTTGTTTTATTTTTTATTCTAATTTGATAAAAATTTGTGTGAAAGTACAATTGAGCTAGTAATTGAAGAAACAAATTTTTAATTAGTTAATTTTCGATAAAAAAATTGATTATGTAAATATAGTCACATTTATGGCGCCGAAATATTAGTAGTTTTGACTGAAGGAAGAATAGAAGTGTCTAGAATACAGTGTCTGTCGATATCGCAACTTGTGCGTACCGCAATCGCAATCTCATTGTTCTATTTGTTTTTGTTTAGAGTAATTTGATAATAAAAATTGATATATTTTTCTTCATTATATCGCATTTTAAAGTCCATTCAACTTTCTACAAATTCGATTATTCAAAATCGTATGAATCTAGATTGGTAAGACAATCTTTCAAGAAAAAACTCGAAACTTTGATGACATAGACATTCAACAGTCTGACGTTTTAAACGTCAGACTTTCGCATTCTAACTTTGAACTTGAAATTAATTTCGACTTTTCGTTTTGTTTGTAACATTGGATGATGTCTCATTCCTATCCTAACGTCTCCTTTCCTTTTAGAACTCTTTATTACAATTCAACATTTCTTGAGAAAGTCGAAGTTGTAAAAAAATGAATGTTTTTGATGTTTTCAAACTTAAAATTTAAATTTGACTTATAACTTTTACATATATGGTAAACAGACAATGTATAAATAAGCACATGATTTCAAATCCTATATAACAGTTCAGTATAGTCAAAAAGATGTTTTCTATTGAGAATTTGTTAGAGTTGTTGATTATAATATTTGTTTATTACGATCATCTTTGTCAATTCAATTATTTTCTAGATTTTGATGAATAATCAACTAGATGCTACGCAACGTAGAGAATATTTATCAAAACAATTAAATAATCTTATTCGAGATCTTCCACCGTAAATGATGAGAATAAAACTATTATGAGATCATTTATTAATAAATGAATAGTTTTCTTGTTTAGAAAATATCAAGAACGATATCAACAACATGGATTTAGAAATCAATTGATATCATCATTGTTAGATGGTACCGTATTTAGTATTGTACAAGGTTTGCAAGAAATACAATCATTAGCAGAAAAAAATTTATCAAACGAAAGAAATCGACTAGTTAAAATTACAAAAGGTATTAATACAATGTCATTTATTTATTTATTTATTTATTTTATGGTTATTGTTAGAACAAGAAAATGATTTGATACGAAAACATCGTGAAGATGAACAACGTTGTGCTGATCGACCTCAACATTTGAATTTATTACAAGCAGCTAACAAGCGTGAATTAGAAGTATGGATTTTCTATCATAAAATCACTATTATTATTATATTCTCTCTATTTCATTTTTTTTATTTTTTTATCTAGGCATTTTTAAAACGAACAAATGAAGAACAACAAAGATTTGACATGAAAGTAATATTAGAATTGGATCAAAAAGTATTGGAACAACAAACAACACTTGAAAAAGCCGGTGTACCATTTATGTATGCCACAAATAAACCAAATGATGTTCGATTACAAATGTTTACATTAGAGTTTATTCAAAAACTTAGTCAATCTCTACCACCATCATTTAATCTCTGATAAAAATGTTTTGTATTCTAATTGTTATTTATCGTTGTTATTTATAAAACATTCTATTTTTGTGTATATATAAAATTTTATGTAAAAAGGATTTACATCTCAATCTTTATTTTACTAGAAAAACAAAATAGAACATAGTTGGTCGTATCAAATCATACGAATTGGATTAAATTTAAAAATATATTGTACAGAGTAGTTTATAATTTTTAATTTTATTTTAACGATCATCAATTTCACTATGTCATACAAATAATTTTGATTGACAATATTCACTTCTGTCAAAGATGTGAAGAATACGACATTTTCCATCTAGATATTAATATTTTTCTTTCTACTAGCAAAAAGAAAACATCGAAGCAATTTTCAGTTAGTCTTTTTGAAGCTGTTATTTCGTGATCAATTTCATTTATTTGCAAGTAAAATTTTGTTTCATATGCGTTTTCATGTTATAAATACACGAAAAAAAGGTAGGAGGGGATGTGTCATTTAAAGTTTTGGATTATTAATTGTTTGCATCGTGAATATGGTTTAAAAAAGGTGTTAATTATAGAATGTACAATCACAGATGGCAAATGACTTGACGAACGTTGCAACACCGTAGGACAATTCTGTGCATCAGTTTGATCATCAACAAAAAAATATGAAAAAAAAAGTGAACAACTAGAAGTAGAAGAAAAGAAAAAACGAACGGTATTTTTCTTTACCTTGCTCTAGTACTGTTCATGTTTCTATCTATCTGTCTGTCTATATATATATATATTTCTTTTTTTTTGCTGAGAAAGAGAGACGAACGCATCTATTATATTATTTTTATTTTAGTGTGTCGTGCACAGTTAGAAACTATGCTAGTGACACTTCAAAGAGTTAGCAAAGCGTGATAGTAAAAAGAAAAAAGAGGTAAAAAGTGATGTAGTACGATATCCATATGGTGTTGTCAAATAGGAAAATAGAAACTAGCTGTGTATTCTAAATGAAAATTGAGAGTTTGTGATGGAAGAATACTGACAACAAACGCCAATGTCTATCGAAAATTATCGGTTTAGCACTGTGTACTAGAGATCAACACGCGCCCATGCGCGTAGTTCTATCGAGGGTACTTGTCCGTGGAATTTTTTCACTGCCCGTGCTCGTGCAGAAAAAAACATTTTTTTCTCTCTCTGATGTGACATTTTTTTGAAAAATCTGTGCCCGTGAAGAGAGCAATTGCTCGCGGCGACCATGGAAATTCAAGTGCCCGTGCAGATCTCTACTGTATACACATATAAACAGGTGTTGATGAATAACGTACATTTACTAGATGCTAGAGTATGATCTTGTAATGAACAGATACCTACTGGCATATAAAACGTCAATGAATTCATGACCAAGAGATTTAATAAAGTGTGATGCGTTTAAAATAGGGCTGGCTGTTTACCATTACTGTTACTAATCTGTTGATGCTAGTTTGTTACTTTGTTACTTCGGGTAAAGTAATCAAAAACAAGTTTTTTTTTGTTAGCTATTAAAAACTTGTTGAAAAAGGTTTTGTGAGTGTGAGAGTGAAATACGTGCTAAAAGATGGTGGAACGTCTGATAAAGAAGTATCTGAAATATTTGTTAGGTATACAACAAATATTTCAGATACTTCTTTGTCGGACATTCCACCAACTTTTAGCACGTATTTCACTCTCACATTCACAAAAGCTTTTTCAAAAACGTTTTTATGAGGAAACAAAAAAAAAATTTGTTTTTTGTTACTTTACCAGAAGTAAGAAAGTAACAAACATTTGTGACTTTATTACTAGTAACAAAGTACACAATTAGCATATGTTGTTACTAATTACTAGTAACAAGTAACAAATTTTTGTTATTTTACTGGTAAAGTAACACCGAGTAACAAGTAAACAGCCATCCCTAGTTTAAAATCTGAGTTTTATACCCACAAAGTTAAAGTTCTTCTTCTTCGACTGAAGACGTTCGCTGAGTGATCTTTTACGACCATTAGAAGTAGACTTTTCTTTTTAATAGAATAAACAACTGAATAAAATGTGTTGGTATGAGAGCAGAAACAAAGTTTTTTAAGAAATTGTTGAATGTGTGAAAATTATAATAAAAAAAAAATGAAAATACATGTAAAACACTGTTAACAAAAATAATTTAAGTTATATGTACGTTTTTAAGAATGTTTAGCCCAGTTGCATTGATGCAAATTTCATTCGTTTTTGTTTTTGTCGTTGATTACAAAACCATACACGTACAACATTTTTTTTTAAATCTAATTTTTCAGCAATTTGTGCTATTTTTTCACCAGATGGACGTGGTTGAACGGAAAAAAATCCTTCCAATAAACGTTTTTCTTGTGCAGCGATCGATGTTCGTTTTCGTTTTTTATCATTATTATTATGACCATTGAGTTCTTCTTTTTTTTTACTTCTTGCTTCGGCTTCAGCAAATTCAAGCCATGCTTGTAGAACAGGTTTTAATGCTACCATATTATTATGTGATAATGTTAATGATTCAAATCGACATATCGTTGATTGTGAAAGAGATCCAACACCAGGCATTTTTAATTTTGATAATTGTTGACCAACATCCGCTTGAGTAACACCTAATTTAATACGTTTTTGTTTAAATCTTTCTGCAAAACCTTCAAGTTCACGTGGATCAATATCAAGATCGTGTGGATGCATTGCTATTTGATGTACGGACATACCATTCATTGTTGAATGATTATAAAATGGATTATGATGTGAACTTAGTTGATCTTGTGATGAAGGTGAAGTCATTGAAAGACCAATATGATTTGAATGATTAATACCGTTGGATGATTCGAATCTCGTAACGGGTGTTTGATTGGAAAATGTCGATGGAAAATGAGACGAATAAAATGATTCGGGTTTAGTCAAAGCTTCTGCACGAGCTAAAAATGAATCATCGATTGTTGGAAAAAAGTTTGCCTAAAATATAACAAAATTTTTTAGTTTTGAAATCGGTATATGATAGTGTATATATATAAATACTTACATTTGGATCAAATTTGAAATTGTCGACAAAACAATTACTTTTCCACTAAAAATAGATTTTAATATTAAAAAAAAAGAAAAAAAGTTTGTACCATGAGGAAGTTATTCGTCAGTATGGATATTTACTAATCACTAATTAAGTTTAAGTGAATTAAAAATTCTCAAATAGGAGATTTAAACTAAACTTATAAATGTAGTTGAAAAAAAAAATGTATCTTTACCGATGCAGTTGGCATATATCGACGACTATCGGCTGCGGCTGCTGCTGCTCTATAAAGATTTGTTGGTGAATATCGTCCACCGAATGGTGATTGAGCTGCTGTCAATGGATTTGAAAATGTAATTTTATTATCCATAATCATCATTTGACTTGTTAACTATATCCGTGATTTAATAATAATCAATTTTCACCAATAGTAATGATCATTAATAATTGATCTATTGTATAACACCGCAATATTTTTGCATTATGTATTAAAATATCTTCATAATAAATTCTTTATCTATGCGATTAAATGTATCTTTTCATAATAAATAAATAAATAAATAAATAAATAATTGATTTATCTCTTCAAGTTGATTACTATTTCTTCTCGCTCTTTCTCTCTCTCTCTGTCTCTTTTTTCTCCTGTCTCAAATCAGTTTATTAATGATTAAACATACACTATACAAGTGTGAATTTTTATTTTTTCAATATTAATTTCACTACAATGATGATGATGATGCGATTATTTATTAAAAATAATGCACACGATTTTTTTTTTTAATATGTTTTATGCAATAAATGATAAATAAATAATAAATCGATTTGTCGATTTCTTTTCTAACTGTCTATCTTTTTCTTCAAGAGTGAGATATATAAGGTATAACAATAATCATCATCATTTATCAACGTATACATTTATGCTATGCATCTGACAGATTTTTCTGGAAAACATACGTTAGTTTAGATTAATAATGAAATATAATCGAGAGAAAGAGAAGAAAAAAATGTTTTTGAACGCTCTCTCTCTCTCTCTCTCTTTTTCTCTTGGTTTCTTCAGTTTTTTTTCTTCTTCTTTTTTTTCCGCTATAGAATCAAAAATTGTTTTAAGTAAAAGTATGTCATTCATTTTTATCTAGTGGGTACTATGCAGGTATACATCACCTGTATCTATTGTGTTCATACCGCTTCCACATAAACAAATATCAAATTCACCTATGCTGATCTTTGCTGAGAAAAAAGAAAAATAGAGACAAAAAATAAAAAACGAGCTTAGACGAGGAAAAAAAAGAACGAATAAATGAGAAAGATGTTTTTTTTTCTTGTTTTCTCAAGCCAATTGGCTACTTGTCTTTTGATTAACCAATCATAAATATTCTATGATTGTTAATTTCATTGAACTATAAATTATAAGAAAGAAAAAAAATATATATATTTTTCATTGAAATTAAGCGAAAAGTAAATAATTAATGTTATACACCTTTGACTATATGGGGTGGTTGAAAAAAAATTAATTAATGCGTTTAGTTGACTTCTAAAATAGTCTTATTTATGCTATTTCATTCAATGATGATTAAAATAAAAATTCCCGTTAGGATTGTAAAAATTGATAGCCGTGTAATGATGTTTATGATTCGATCTTTTTAGGATATTTTCCTTTCTTTTGAGATACTCGTCTATTCTATAGCCTGAGAAAGAGGTATTAACAAATAAAAAATATATATATATAAAGAAATACCCTAGTTTTTTTTATTCATGATCTAAAGTAATCGATTGAGACTCTTTTCGTTTAAGTATTTTTAATAATATAAATTATTCTGTTCGTCGCATAAAAAGATTTTGGAATTTTAATTATCTTTTCTCCAATTTTTGATTCATCAAATAGCGTAAACACATCAAAATTTTTTATCTACACGTCTCTTTGTATGCGAGAAAAATCTTTTACAATGAGGTCACGTATGAACATCCATATGAATTGTGTTTTACCAAAGTCATTTAGCTTTGCACTGAAAATATTAAAAAACAACAACTTTAGTTATCATCTCTGACGAGACTATTTTCAACAGATCCATTTTTTAATTGCTATTCAATTGTATTGCCGGATCAGGATCTTTTATAGAAGGAAAAAGATTAATTCAGAAAAACATAAAAAAGAAATGAAATAATGTTTTTTTATTTGTTCACCACTTTTTTGGAGGGTGTATTGATTAGTGTTGCTCCTCTTCTAAATCTAACAATGTCTAACTGGAAGAATTAAGAGAGAAAAATGAACATTAAAGATTTCCCAGAGCGCAAGCAGATAGAAGTGATTGTCAATAAAAAAAAATTTGTTGACACACGCAATGTTCTCGTGTCTCCTTCGCATCTCCATACATGAGAGCAAAGAGAAAGAAAATTTGAGAAAGATCAGATATTCACAGATGTAAGTAGTAGACATTTAGCTTTATCATACACTATTTTCTTGACACTTTTTCTTTTTTGTGCGATAATTTGAATCACAACTACAGAGACAGTTTGATATTTTCCATTTCGTTTTAATCGAAAGAGTTTGAGCTATAGCAAATTTCAATCTTAGTTTTTATTCTTAAATATTTATAAACTAAAATTTTAAGTGTAGATAACTTTATTTTGTATCTGTCTAAAAAACTTAGTTTTGGCTTCGGTCAGAATTATAATCATATCAATGTGAAGAAAATAGTGAAGATCATTTGGAGTCGTAGAAAAGTGCTTTTTCATACTCAGCACACTCAATAACTCAGAAAATTTTCTATTTTGAGTAACTAATATTATTTTCCCATGAAAATTGTTTTCCGTCATTTTCTTCAAAAAAAATTTTCCTAAACATTTGACAACATCAAAGCAATTTTTCCAGAATTTTAAATGAACTTTATTTTCCTGTTGTTGATACATTTATTCATTTAGACATGATTTAGTTCATTTTTCTTTCGCATGAGAAATTTGCGACTAAATGAGACGCACCGTTTATATTCAACAGAGGAGTAGTCACAGAAGCGTAAACTAATTGTGCAGCATGTTTTGACACAAATAAAATTTTTCAAATAGAACAGTTTATGTCAGAACCTCTTGCTCCTTTTCTAATCATATACCGAACAAAGATGTTGAATTAAAGATAAGATGAGTTTAGCTAAATTACAATTACGAATCGATAGAGTAACTTTGAAAGAGTCATTATGGCGAGAAAAAATCTTATACACTTTATGATGCTGACAGCAAAAGTTAGGACAACCTAAGGAAGAAATATTGACAAAAGATTAAACGATTTTATGTTAAGCATAGTTAATGATACAAATTCGAACTTGTTGAGTGCAAATATAATATCCGTTTGCGGTTAATAGGGCGATCTTGAACAGATTTTCGAAAGTAGATTTTTAACAACATCAAAAAAACTTAAGAATGAAATCTTTCTGCGATTGTCAGTTTAGTGAGCGTCTCAAACTATCTACTTTCTGTTCGTTTGAAGCCTATTAAATGAGTATAAATACGTTAAAAGGGGTGTTATTATAATAAGCTTCCATATCTGATATTCTTTCTAATTAACCCATGTATACTCAAGTTTTCTCTATCAATTGAAATTAAAATTTCTTTTTCTTAAAACATTAGCTAGACCTAATTAAAGGTATTGAGAGTAATTTTTAGCAGTGAATTCACAACAAGAGGATAATATCATTCAATAATACCTTTTGATAAGTTATAATTATAAAAGTTTAAATATTTATTGATTCAATTTTTGTTCTAACAGATAATGTAACATTTAAAATCATACTTGAACCATTATTGTCCGAAGTCTAGTTGTTTAGACACTTAACAAGTATATTTTTTAGGATACAGGGAGTATAAACAGGTTAACAGAACTTTCAACAAAACACGTTCGATATTCGAAAAATTTCATAACATAGATAATTTGATTGTTCCATTTAAAATCTGCTCAAGCTCAACTACGGATATTATATTCTCAATGAGTGATATAATTAACTGTATTTGACATAAAAATTGTATAATTACATGGCTAAGTTCCCTTATAAGACCGATAAAAGTATGGCAGAGAGTTATGTTTTTATAACTTAGTCTGAATTATAGATATCATGTTTAATAATACGATCATCCTGTTTCTTTTATTAGAACTTAAACCACGTTTTAGGTGTAAATGGTTAACTGTATCAAACTTAGGCTAAATAAAACTTACAAAAGAATTAGTTAAATGCGGAAGCATTTGTCTTTTCTTTCATCAATATCAATTACTATTTATTATTATGTATGTATATAGAGAGAAAGAGAGAGAAAGAGAGGGAAAGAGATATCACTGTCGTCCTCAATAATGAAAGAATTTTGAAAGAACGAAGTTATGTAAAGTGTGTTCATTGTTTATTCTCTCTATGAAAAGAGAAAAAGAAAAAAACTAAATTTTATTCTATGTCGATAACATTAAAAGTTAATAGGACTAAAAGCCTGTTTTTTTGACTAATGAAATATGCACGCATATAAGCAGATATAGTGTCATAGTGAAAATTTTCATTTTAAATGATATAAATAGTTTTCTTTTTCTCTTTGTAAAATGATTGATTCACAAAGATCATCGGCATAGGCTCGACAGCAGCAATTCAGTGAATAGTTTAAGAAAAAAAAGAGAAAAAGAAAAGAAAAACAGAATTTTAAATGTATTTTATAATTAGATCTACAACATTTCGGTACATTTAAAGGACGATCGACTACAAAAAAAAAATGATTTTTTTCTACTTGAACGCGATATTGCTATTTACAAATTTACATTGCATTACAAATTTGTGACTTGAACTGTACATTGATTATTTTATTTGAAGTTTTTGGGAGAATTTTCTCAGAAATCAAAAAAAAACGGAGCAAGATTACTAAAAACTAATCTATTTTCTGTATGTTGTATAGATCCACGAGAGAGACAGTATTCTGATTTGTTGATCACATTATTTACGTCAAAATAAGATGTAACAAACATCTCCGTATGATTTCCTAGTAGAAAATAATAATTCTTTTTCTTCAAGTCCTAGAACCCATCCATATAGAGGTAGTGTCTTTTCTTTATAGTTATTTTGACGCTGCTATCGTCCAGTAGGAGATATTTTTCTCACGAACAGTAGATTGTATACTAATAATTTGATGACTCTAAAACGCATATAATAATCAGAATTGATCTTCTTTTTTTGGCACAGAACGAGTCTTACTGTTTTGAGTGATCATTTTTATTTTTGAAGTCTTAAGTAAACTGGACAATCCTATTTTTTCATGCAAATACCATTCTTTGTCGCAAACAATAGTATAATTCGACTGTGATCATTTTTACCATTTATTTGTTTGATCTTTCAAATATAATTAGATTCTACAAGTAAAATATTATACTTTTTTTTTATAATTTATTAATTTTTCATACCAGTCGTCTAAGTCTAATCTAAGAATTAAAAGATCATTCCATTAAAAGTATTTAAACGTAATATATCGACACTAGATCAAACTAACTAGTAGCTAGTGTAATGTTTATTTAAATACTATAAACGTAAATGTTCTCAATTCTTTTAAAGAGTCTGTTATTACAAGATAAGACTGTAGATGTATTTTATTTCTTGTTAACTTTCAATGTGAATATATGTATCATACCAATTTGTTACTCATCAATTCAACAGTATTCTTTGATGTTCGATTTTTTTTCTCTTCTTCTCATCGTCCACATAATGTCTTGAGGGCAATTCAACTACAAACTACAAATTTTTTCTTTTTAATTAAAAAAAAACCTTCTTCATTGGTAAAAATTATGAAAAAGAAGAAAAATTTTCATATTCTTTCAGTTTTGAAAAGAAATCTTTTATATGATTTAGTTGTTTTGATATTACTTGGTAGTTTGTTATTTCAATTTTATATTTACTTGAAGTAAATGTTTGATACTACCATCTCACATTATCGGAAAAACTTGTTTATTATAGAAGATGAAAAAAAAAAATTTACTTTTAAACGATATAGCTGTGAACAATACAAACTCTTTTTTTTATGAATTATTGATGAGAGAATAAACATATGACAAGAAAAAAGAATGTGTATCTGTGGTTTTTTTCCTAAACAGTTATAACACGTTTTCGATTAATATATATAACTCTTTCGTTATGATATTATAACCAGTCTCAGAAAGTGTCTACTGTATTCTTTATTCACATTTCCTTTTATCTACTGGTCTATTGGAGACGTATGTTTTAGTGATGAGAAACGCGAAAAAAAACAAAACTCGAAAAACTTACGGTAATAAAAACACTTTTAGACATTTTATACCGTTTGTTTCTTCTACTATTTCGGGAAGAATTTTTAGAATCGCCATTGTAGAATAGGATTTAACGAAACGTTTTTTGTTTTTTTTTAAACTGTCTATCTGATCTTATTTCTCTGTTTAGAAACGCCTTTTTATTCATGTTTGTCACGTCATTGCCATGTGACTTTATTGAATGAGTATTCTCATATAACACTTTGGAGAAATAACTGAAACAATTGTTCAAGTACATGCTATATTTGTGGTGAAGAAAAGGAAAAAAGTATTTGATTAAAGATATATATATATATATATTTCCCATTGTTATTGTTATTTTTATCTTTGGATGTCTTGTACTTGTCAACTGACCATTAATTGGCATATTAATTACATAGAAAGAGAATAAAAACGATCAAGTGTAATTATAACTATTCATGGAATAAGTCAGTCAAAACAGATTGCAGAATTCTTTTTTTTACCAATGAAAATGAAACTTTTCAAAATAGAAAAATTTTAAATTTCCTATAAATTTCGGACTCATCAAACGATTGATTTAGTACTTAATTTGAACCGAATTTACACATGTGCATTCAAAAACTCGAACAAAAATGTACATAATTCATTAAATTAGTATCGATTCTGTTATTCATAGATCGTAGTAATACATTTACGATTATAATTACTATACAATAATTAATTTAATATTTTCATATTTATATGTTTTTAAAAATCTATTTAAAAAAGTATCAAAATAAGAAAGATTATAGACATAATGCTATTTCTTTTCCACAGCTATCCAGTTGTTAAAACTCTCATATTCTTCTCAGGTGTTTTATTCCCTTTTTTCTTTTCTATTCTATTAATATAAAGAGTCTCTTAAATAATTGTCTTTTTTTCCGTTTATCGTTGATTAAGATAAGAGCGTTTCTTCATTAGTTGATCATTTCAAGCGTATATATACGTAGTGAAGCACGATATATATTACACATATTTTTTATCAAGTCTTGTGTATTCAAATTATACAAAAAATCGTTTTTTGTTATGATCATATGGTACATGGTACTTGCTCAGACACAAATAAAAAAATCCGAATAAAAAACATATCGAATCAATTTTTTTTTTTTAGCTGTTGACATCCAATCTACAATATTGCTTCTAGCAACGAAAAAGTGACTGTAAACATCTATCATCACAAAAAAGAAAATTCATTTTTAATAAGAGATTACGCACCTTTAAGCTTATAAGATGAGAAAGAAAAACAGTCGAAAGTTTACATAAAAGATCTTATTATACCTGTACCAACAGTAGTTTTTAATTTTTTATTCTCTATAACCATCTGGCATGTTGTAAAAATATCATCCATCACACACATATACACAGTACAAGACCTTTTGCCTTCTCCACCTACCTTTACAATTATATTGCTCCCCAATGAATAGTTTAAACCAATTTTTTTTAATCATCGAACAAAGACATATCAAACTTTCTATTTCAGAAGAGCATTGACATCGAACACACATTTCTTTCTGTCCGCATTTTGATCATGAACAAAAGTATTCTATCCAGGGTTGTTGTTTTAACTTGATCTATTTTTCTCTAAAGACAGCCCCAAGAGGACTATTGGTCAACTAAAGTACAGTTTTCTTACAACCACTGCTAACGAATAATTATGTCCAATTCTGGACGGATCTTTCTAAATACCAGTAGACCACAATCTAAAATCAAGATTGGATCAAAAAGGTAATTATCTGATCCTCAAGAACTTTTATTTTGTATAAACAGTTTTCTAATATATTAAAACTTTTGAAAACGCATAATCTGAATCAAAACATATGATATATTTTAAACAATTTTTGTATCAGCGCAAAAGAATGGAATTTAGATTCGTGCATCAGTATATCACATTTTTCGAAGGTGGACAGCACATGACTACTCCCTTTAATCGTCTTTTCTTATAAAAGGCGATAGATGTCATTATATACCAACAACTATGATAAAAATAAAACAAGGGGTGTTTCAAACTAATACTGGACAGGTACTATCCAAGTAGTTTAACATAAATAAGTTCAATAATTTTTGCTTTAAAAATATTTTAGATGAAATTATTAACGGAGTTACTTGGCAACATGAGTCGAAAATGGTTGATAAAACTATAAGTAAATTTCAATCTGAGTAAGTTTCTGCTTATTTATTGAACATATTATTCGGACTTCACAATGACGTAAGTATAATAGATAAAGCGTACTATTAAAGTTGAAGATTATTATGTTCTTGTCTAGGCATCTCTGAAATTCTAACAAAGCTTCAGTGATCCCAATGCGAATCAGGAGGATGTTTCATGAAAATTTTCAAGTGCTCGACTTAACTGTTCGTTCTGAGACAAAACGAAAACTTAAGTCGAGCACTTAAGAATTTTCATAAAACACCCTCCTGTTACGTAGCGCGCTCCCATATTGTTTTTCTAGCACAGACTGGGTGGGGTCCGAGAAAAAGAAGAGAAGATCTGCAATAGTAATTGTGACTTTTTTTATACGGAGCAGAATTTTCGCATTCTAAAACCGCAAAACAAATTTTTGTCTGAATAATTTACTAGAAAACAAGTTTGAGATTTACTGAAAACGATTCTATCTATAAATACTCACTTGATCTCATTATCTTCAGCATTTTTAAGTACAATTCTAACGCATCGAACCGAAGAGACAGCCAGTTTGTAGCGTACTTGTTTATGTTTCAGCTCTATTTGCACTGCTTACAGTCGTCTAGGTAAGTGGAATGATACAATCATTATTTTAAGCTACATAGACGGGAAAGCTGCTGGGATCAACAGATTTGAGTCTCAGCTGATTCCACTTTTGAAAGAGGATGAAAACGAACCTTTTTCACATATTTTATTCATTAACTTTGAAATATTCTTCGAAGTTTTTTTCTTGAAAATAATTGAAGTATATGGCTTGAGACACTGAATTTTTAACTCGCTACCGTTGGTGTTAGTGAGATACATATCGACAGGTTGTTTCTGTGACTGATAATCGTAAAAAACTTTTTGAACACTTTTGGAATAAATGATTTATCATGCCTTTATAATTTTTCTTCGAAATCAACAATTTTTTATGGATCAAACTTTTTTGAACCTCACCTAGTTTTAAGACGTACTATCATCGATGCTGATCTGTTATCAAAATTAGCCGTTACTGTGACGTACGTCGAAGGTGATTTTGACAGGTTTTCTTGTTTTTTTGTAAAAAGAGCCCTCAATATGAAAGAGTGCACAATAAAATAAATAATATGAGGGAGGAAGAAATAAAATGCATTTTCCTCACAGAATAAACTCTTCTTTCTCTCAGACTGCAAAAAAAGTGTTAATTGGAGTTTCGAAATTCTTTCAAGTACACCGAGCGTAACTTGTCTGGATCATTGGAATTACTGCATAGCCGATCTTTCTTGATGGAAAAGGTTGTTATTATGTGAATTTCACCTAATAATATAATTTTTATTTTTTATTCCAGCACATCGTTAACTGATCAATTGTACGTCGGCTTTTTTTCCAGTGACTGTGCATGTCAAACAGAAGAGACAGAATTATTTGAATTAAAGAGTACAACAAATTTATTACAAAACTTATATGATGTAAGTAGTTTATATACTGCTCTTCTTTAGCTCTACATCTCCGCGTAAATCCGTTTAGGAAGTTCATAGATTGAAATATGAATTAAATTTTACAAGAGAGAGTCTCAAATCTGCTTTTAATGAAGAACTTCAAAGCCATGGTCAAACAATGTGAGTGACTTGTAGTCTTTGTCAATCTAACTACGATCACACCAGCTAGTTATTAGTTTGAAAAATCATTAATGAATATTATCAAGTTGTGGAACTAAAGTTCATTTTTTAAACATCCTACGAAAGATTCGACTTCTTTTCACAAGTACTTTTCATTTTATTTTCCAGATATTATCAGCTAACCGACAAGCTCGACACATTAAGAAAAAATCACAACAAAGTAGGAGTTTTTTTTGTATAAAATTCTAATCAGACAACACAGTTATATGAGGTCATTTCAATCAGTGTCGAAAGTTTTCTCAATCTTTTGCTGATAGCTGAGTCATTTTTAACTGGAGAAAAACGTTTTTGTACAGGTATATAGATCTGTCTTTTGTCCATGAAATTACGTTAAGATTTATTGGGGTTAATCAATTCTGATCGATTTTCAATGGATTACTATTATATACTGATCGAAATTACTCCAGAGCATATATACTGTATGTATACATAAATGACTATGCCTTTTGATTTCTGTCTATTTTAACTAACTAATTAATGATAAGTACAATTGAGCTGGAAATTACACAAATGCATAAAGCTCATGAAATTGAAAAAAAGTTAATTTATTTCGTATCAACCACTCTGGCTGCGTTGACTGGAATTAATTACCTCAATGGCAACTCTTGACTGACCCATATTTTCGGTTGGTTAATATTGATTAGAACTAATTAACCTTAATAAATCTCAACATAATTTCATGGACAAAAGACAGATTTATCTAAGTGTACTAAAAAAAAATGTTTTTCCTCAGTTAAGATTGACTCAGCTATCAGCAAAAGATTGAGAAAATTTTCGACTCTGACTGATATTATTCTAGACGACTCTTTGTAGACGAAGTGAGCAGAGAACTCTACTTCTCTCTATATGCAGTATAATTGAAATAAAGAAAACCGGTCACTAGTAAATTCGGCACATTCTTAATTGAGATCACTATTTTTCCACTCACTCTCATTTTGCACTTCCCGAACTGTGATGTTTCTTTGATGCTCATTTTTGTTACACATTTTATCAAAGAAGTGATCTCAATTAAGAGCCTCGGTAAATTCCTGTCTATTTTATATCTTATATTTGTTTAGGCTGTAGAAACTCTTCGTTTATCGTATCGTAGTCAATTACATGATTTTATATCACAAGCAAAAAATATTATCAACGTATGTGATCTACTTCATTTTGTATCCTTTCTAAAAATCTTTTTGTACTCTTTTCTTTCTAGAGTGACAAACCAATTTCAGTCACAAAAGTTGAGAAACAAAATCCTGAAAGTAATGAAAAACTTTCATTTTTTCATCAAGCATTACTGCGTGGTTATGAAACCGAGATTGCTAATCTTAAAAAAGAAATTGAACGTGTACAAGATTCAACAAAGGTATCTACTCAATTTGGTTTTACACACACATATCAACATGAAGAAAAAAAATCAAGTTCATCTAGAGTCATGGAAAAGTGCTTTTTCGTATTCAGCACACTCAATAACACAGAAGATTTTCTATTTTGAGCAAGGCGTATTGCCAAAAGTTTAGGAAAATTTTTCGAAGAAAATGACGGAAAACAATTTTCATGGGAAAATAATATTAGTTTCAAAATTTTTCTAAACTCTTGCCAAAAATAGAAAATCTTCTGTGTTATTGAGTGTGCTGAATACGAAAAAGCACTTTTCCATGACTCTAAATGAACTGATTTTTCTCTTAGTGATATGAATGTCTTACATGGTCTTCTTTTTTATATTCTAGTTTGAAATTGAATTAGCAACAGCATTTGTAACTGAAGAAAAAGATCGTCTCACACGTGAAGTGACGAGTTTAAATAAAAGTGCGGCACAATTCGAAGATCAGATGATGAAAAAAGATGAGCAAATGAAAGAACTTAGTATGTAGTGCTAACGAAACATTAACAGTAGAAAAGTATTATATAATTGTTATTAGGAAAGGAACTATCAAATTTGAACGATCGTCTCCGAGAAAAAACCCAACAAGCAAAAAAAGTAACACCTGTTGAACCAATCATTCGTTCGGTATCTACACGTTCGATAACAATTCAAACAGATAATTTATCTCCAACCATTGAACAAAAACCTACATCAAACATGTCGGAAGCTGTGATGCAAGAAAAATTAGATGCACTTGAAACACGATATAAAACGTTTATGGAACAAAAAAATAATCAAATTCAGCAGTTAAATAACGATGTAATTTGAACAAGAGTTAGTCTAGTAATTTTTATCATTAATGATGCTTGTTTTTCGTTTATTTAAGTATGAAGTTCAACAAAAAACATATCGTCAGAAGATGGAAAAATACGTAACTATAGAAGAACGTTTGCAGAGTGATGCAAAAAGGTAAATTTACTTATCTCGAAAGAAATTATAATTAGCATTATAAATAATTATGTACGTATTATTTATTTATTTCATTCAAAGACATGCTGATAAATACAAACAAGAGATAAATATGTGGGAAACAAAATATGATATTTTGAAGAAAAGGTTTGATAACTTTTAATGGCGAGGGCAATGACTTTTTGGTTAATACCATAACAATAAGTGCAACTGTTTTTAACTTCATATTTTAATTATCGAATATTTCGACCTTAAATGGTCATTATTAACAAAAAAACTAATTGGACTAAAAAAAACTTGAAAACTATTTTTTATATAAGAAGGTACAGTTTTAGTTTTTGGATGATAAATTTGTTTGTTTCTATCCAGATACGAAATGTAGAAGAAAAGAACGAAGAAATAATAATGTCTATTGGCGTTGTGAGAATCGATCCAATTGCTCTGATCGTGCTACACAAGAAGACTAAACGTGCTAAACAATTGATAAAAAACATAAGAAAATACCAATAACAGATGAACCAACCAACAATAGCTCCGTAAAGTTTTTTGTGAACTATACTACTATTTTTCTATTCATGTGTATGCATAAGGTTAATTACATAAGAAAAAGTGTCGACAATTAGAAATTGTCGGTACCCTTTGATTCAGGCGTGTCGACTTTTCAGGAAAAATAAGCTGTCGACAAATCGCGATTAAACAGTGTGTCGACCGTTTCGGAAAAAAACAGTGTCGACAATTAAAGACAATTAAGGACCTGTCGACGAATCGAGAATAAACCGAAATATTCAATAATAAAAATATGAAGTTAAAAACAGTTGCACTTATTGTTATGTTTGATAACTTTGTTTCCTGTCTCTCACTTTAATGTTACATCCGTTTCTTTCTTTAGTATGAACGCTCTCCGTGACGAAATGTACACACGTCAGACAAACATTCGTGATCGCTTTGTGGCTAAACCAGCTGTTGTTTCCTACGTAAGCATATATTTTAATCATACAAAACGAATAATAAGGTAGACTTTAGAGCTTCGATAGTAGGGCGCACAGTAAAAAATATTGTGTCGCAGTAAAATGTGTCGCAGCTCCTGTGAGAAAATTGTGTCACAAAAGAATGTGTCGCATAATTCTGTTGCCGTTACTACGAATTTTCAGACACAGTCCTTGAGGTCATTTCAGGATCTGCTCTCTTCAAAAAATTGCTAAATTTTATGTTTTACTATTTTCAGCAGTCTTCATTAGTATTTTTCTCGGCTTCTTTTCAATTTTGATGTGCTATAGGTGGCGCTAATACGTAAAAGATAAGAAAATTTTCGAACTTTTTAAGTGTTTTCAATTT